GTATTATATATCTCACATCTAGGGTCAGATACCATATCAAGGCCTTTAAGGTGGGTGAGCAAAACTACCAATTTACTCCTTCTTAACTATCAAATATGGCAGAAAATTACTAATGTGATAACGTTATCACATTAATAATTTTCGGTTACTTGTTATTATTTTCGTCTAATATGTTGTTCATTCCTTATTTCCCATGTAATTTGATTTAGTGTTTTGCTTTTTACAATTTTAATGTTTTTTTTTCCTTACTACATTAGTTTAGTGCTAAATATTGACCCTTAATGTCAAATAGCAGCAAAAGATAAGGTGATTGGATAGGAAAAATATTGGTAAAACACACTATTTTCGAAATTAATTATTATTTTGGATTTGAACCACACTAGATAATAACTTAATAGGTTTAATAACAAAAAGTATAAATTATCAACCAAACACAATTATAGAGGGGATATAATTAAGTGGATACCCACTGAGCCCAAAGATGATAATATAAAGCCCAATGTAACTATTGACCAACATCAAAGAGCTTGGCCAAATAGACCATTAAGCGGATCCGGCAACGTAAAAGTAGTCACATTATGATTTGATTCTGATAGGAAATTGAATGGGACACAATAGAGGCAATTGGGAAGATTCCTAACTTTTCTTTCTTCTTTATTTTAATATTTTATTTATCATGTCGATTTCTATGTATTTAAATTCGAACATGAGTGACTAGTTTATTTGATTTTAAAACTTGGTAGTAGATTAATATGTTGAGATTTTTGGATGAATTATTGTAATTGATTATCTTCTTTTGAACCCTATTCAAATATTTTGTTTTTTTTTTATTTTTTATTTTTTATTTTTTTTATGTTTAGCACTTGATCAATGCTTTTACATGTTTGACAATATTGTTCATAATTCGAAAGTTGAGTTCAATATTAGGTCTTTAATATTTGACACAATTTACTTACTTGAATCGAGAGATTAGTAGGTTGTTGTGAGGATATTAGATCTTTTATTCTATTTGGAGTTGAATTGCATGTGTTGTGATTTAATCTACTGTTTTTATCAATCTCGAGAAGGGCGATAAGCTAAATTTGTGATCATCTTATAGGGTAAATAAAGGAACATTTAGTTGTGATATTTTTTAAGGAACCCAACTATTAAATGAAACCACAGTTTTAGAATATATCATTCTCATATATCTGTCTTACGTGTTCTTGAGTTAATTCTCTGTTCTTGCTTTATTTCTTATTGATTATATTTTCTTAGTTTAGTTAGTCCATCTCATATTTGGTCGTCTAAATAAAGTTGACATTGTCTAATCTAGTAATTGATACATTAATTATTTGGTCTCTTGGAATACGATCTTGTTTGCCACATACTACGAGCTGTGAAAATATAGGCGAACATGAATATATGCATCCTTCTTTTGTAAAGCTCTTTTGAATCTTCATTGTTGGTAAGTTAGCTTCATTGCTAGGTATTTAAGATCTCTATATTGCCTTCAATTTGAAAGGTCCGACGTCATGTAAGAACAAGACTTTCCTTCTATACGAGATTCAACAGATCTTGTACCATCGATTCCATATCTCCAAGATTTTCTTTCCATTCACACTCATGCCGCGTCTACATCCAATGCATTGTGTTCCTACAATAAATAAGGAAACAATCTAATATATATCCAACTCAATATTCAGTAAATAAAATATAAGAAAACTCAATAAATAAGCTAAACTTCTCTTTGTTTTGTCTTGCTTCCTTTTCAAGTGACCTACAAAGAATATAATTAAATAATAAGAGATTATTTGAGTAATGCAAATTCATATCCTAACAACATTGATTTCTTTATAAATGTGTCTAACTAGATTTATTCGAGTCAAGTACTTCAGGTCAAGGTTATCAAAACCGGATTGGACCGGTCGATTCGACTGGTTCAACCAGGTATCGGTCAGCACAACGGTCCGGTTTGAGGTATGAAACTGTTAAAGTCCAAAACCGACTGTAAACCGTTGCAACCAGGTCAAAATCGCGAAATCGGCAACGGTCTAGCGGTCTATAGCGGGTTTTGTTTTTAACTTTTCTTTGGTCCAGTTGGAGATCACTTAAATAGCAAACATTTGATATGTATTGTTCCGATATGGATATCAGCTTTCACAAATAAATGCTAATCCCCATGGGCTTACATGACATCCAAACTTTTTTTGTCTAAGGCCCATTGTATAGAATAATGAATTAACATTTATTTGCTCATCTACTTTTTACTCTTTTTTTTTTTCAATTGTTGTTTTCAATATTAAAATTTAAAATGTAAAAAATAAATGAAAAATAAACTATCAACATTATTTAATATTGTCGGCTATATCTATAATTGAACTCCTATTTGGATAAATGTCATTATACACTATAAAATTAATGATAAAAATATATAAAATAATATATTATGCGTATAAAATAAATGAAAAAATTGTATATTAATTAAACCTGTTCGACCACTGGTCCGACCAGTGAACCACTAAATCGATAGCTTTACCGGTTCGGTTTTTAGAACCATGCTTCAAGTTTAAACTCGTGCTAATTTAATAAACGAGTCGCGTTACTCAGCTTGTTAGATAAGTAAACAAGAATGTAAACTTGAGTTCAGCTTGTTTAAATTTAGTTCGACTCATTTAATAATTTTTAAACCTAGACCAAAATCCAAAATTTTAACCGAGTCGATCACGAACACGTTTAACTCTACTTGTTTGATAGAAAAGCTCGATAACTTGTTTGTGTTTAACTAGATTAAATATACAAGTGAGTCGAACTTGAGCTTTCACGAGTCGAGCTCGAGCTTTTACAAGTCGAACCTAATGGTGTTAGCGGATAACTCAGTCCAAATAACACCTATATATTTTGCCCGGTTACGTCCCTGTTCTCACTGTTAAACTCATATTGTATATAAAAGATGTATGTTAAAATTATGAAATCTCGTACTTTTATGTTAATATTGTAATTTTAAAAGTGAGTATGAAAATATAAATGCTTTATTTAAGTCTGGTCGAATTTTTAAAATGGCCATGGATTTATGTTAAATAAAATAAAATAAAATAAAATAAAAACACGAGGTGGAGCAGATATATAAATCAATAAATGAGATATACATCATGTGATTATTCAGAGTGAGTGGCACAAAAAGTTAAAAGAAGACAAACTAAAGCTAAGCCACGCCATACTATTGATACCAATAAGCGCAAGTAGCCAGAAAATGGCCGCGCTCGTGATACAAGCACTCAACCTAAAATAAATAAATAAATAAAGTACACCCAAAAATACACATACAAACACGCATACGTATGTGTGTGTGCACCTTGCAGATTTGTTCTTAGATATGATTTGAGGCTTGATTCAAATTCCATTGAAAATGGGGAATTGCTTTTTTACTTTTCTGTAGGCTCCAAAAAAAATTTAGGCCCTATAGAAAAACAAAAAATAAATTAATAATAATTTCCCTATATAGTCCTATACATATATAAAATATATATTAAATATTCCTGGCAAGATTCTGAAATTTTATTCATGCTTTTGGTGCCTGCATTTGGTCTCTAATGTTTACTGCAAATGGGCTGCCATTTTTTGTTAGCTCATGCTACATAATGTTTGACATTGACACTTCTTGTGTTGGCCTGACCAAGAATTTTACATTCTGATTGGGCACTCTAACACGTTAAATTTAATTTGACAAAAAAGCATCCTATGAGAACTTTTAATAAATTTTGATTTAATAATTAATATTCATCAGTAACATTCTAAAATATGATCAATGTGTATAAAATACTGAAAAATTTGAGAGGCTCTTGAGCAATTGTAATTTAATGTGTTCCTATGATTCAAGAGTAAAACTGGTGTAGTTATGGTGAACCAACTACTACAAGTGCGCACATGAAATTTTAAAAAATGAAATTGTTCATTAATTACTAATTTAATTGTTCATTAATTTTTAAAAATGAAATTTCAAGAAAACAACATATAAAATAATAGTATGATATTTAGTATTATAAGGATCTATTTTATCTGAAATATAACCATAATGAATTCAACTCAACCCCAAGATTTTTGTAATATACATACGGGGGCTAGAGATCTTTTCAATCATGTCATGTATTATTAAATAATTGTAGTACTAAGATATTAGATAATTATTGTTAGCTTTTCGAATTAATTACTGTATAGCTTCACAACGAGACAAAAAAAAGCATGTCAGAACATATCTTCACATTCCGTGACCCCCCAAAACCCCAATTTTCACATTCCCTTAACAATTTCCAATCTCTATAAAAAGCTACCAATAATCCACAATCATATTATAGGCAAACACAAAANACATAGGAGAATGGCAATGCACAAAAAGCTTCAAATCCTCAGAGCCCTCACCAAATCAAAATCAGTATGTATACTAAATTAATTGTTATTTATTATTATTATTATTATTATTATTTTCTTCTAATTGTCAAGTAACTTAGAGGTAATAAATGCATGTAATTGACTAATTTAGGTTATGTTTTTGTTATAAGGTGAAAAAGAGCTCTATCATCATGGATGCCTTTTTCTATATCAGAAGCTTGAGGCTCCAAGTTGAAGCAATCCAGAAAGAGTACCAAAACCTTATAAATCATATCCAGGTGTGCTAGATTTTTTATTTCAAAATCAATAGAATAATTTTCTTTAGTATTGTAAACCAATGTTTGTAATTTTAGCCCTAAAGAAACAATTATGCTTATATTTTTCCATACTATTTGACATGTCGATGTGGTAATAGTATTTGAGTCGGCCTAACTCGTTAATTAGGCGAGTTTAACAGCCATACTATTCGAAACGTGCATACTGTTATACGAACTATCATACTATTCAAAACGAGTGAAATAGTTAATTAACTCAAAATATGAAAAGCAATATAATATAGTTTGATTGTGGAATTATGTGTCTTTTTAGCTGTCTTTTAGTCTGTAATTATGTGTGTTCTATTATTTCGAAAATATATATAACTATATATATATTCGATTTTTCCTAAAAAAAAAAATTAGCGACGCTAACTAAATCGCGCACGATAACTCATGACTAGGAAGTGAAAGTGGAGAAGATTGGGATGGGATATTTACTAGTGAGGATAACATGCAAGAAAGGCGAAAAATTGTTGGTCTCGATACTTGAGGCGTTTGAGGAGATGAACATAATCGTCTTGCAGGCGAAGCTCACGAGCAAGCACTTTTTCGGTATGGAGGCTATCGTCAAAGCTGATCAAGTTGATGAATCGACCTTGAATCAGGCCATTCTCAAGATCATCAAAATGCAGATGGACAATTAACTGAACTTGATATTATTAAGAAACTAAAAGAAAAAATGGGGGGAAAATCAAGTAGTGCTTTTTTAAGAGAGAAAGGGAAAAAAAAAAAAATAATTGTTGTAAATTGACCTGGTGTTTTATCAATCCTGTTTTGTGATTATATGTGTTGAGATTTGAGAAGGGTTATTGAGAGTTCATGTTTGGAAATTATTATTATCTTGTTTTGTTAATTTCAAGATTATTGTTAACTGTTAAGGTTTCAACTATTTTACGTGTCCGGCTTGTGTGCTGAGTGAGTATAGTAAATGATTAGTTTTATTTCTACATAAATTTTGAAACTGCTTAACAATTTGGGAACTGTTCAACAATTTGGTGGGTCGATCAATTATAATTTTGAACAAAAATATATTACGGTTAGGTTTTACCCAATAAATGTCGCAAATGAAATTATAGTTGTCTCACTGTTCAAACATATTTAATTTCTGAATTGAAACTTGATTAGATATGCACATCACTAGTCACTAGGCCAACCTAATATTACTAGTTACAAATATCTCACTGTTAAACATTTTTTTTTTTTTTTTTTTTTTTNCGCTGTTAAACATCTTTAATTTCTCGATTTCCCTCTCTATATTAATAAGAGGCAGTTTGGGGGTTTCTTTTGCTGACACGTGGCGTAGTCTGCAGCTTTTCCTATTTTCTTACCCTATGGCCCAAAAACTTTGAGTAATGTTGGGCTGTGTTTTTCCAATTAAAAGCCCCGTTTTTCATTATGCGGGTTAGGGTTTTGGGGTGTTCGCGTGCAGCCAGAGCGCCGCTGTGTAGCCGTCTTCCCTATCTGATTTTCCGGTGCTCCACACCACATGGAGGTTGTAGACGAGCTTCAGGGACTTCAGCGGGTCATGCTCCCACGCGAACTTCAGGCGCTCGGTCAAGGTCTCCGACAGCGTGTCGGGGATGACGTGGAAGAAGAAATCAAGACAGGGATTGCCCTTCAGAGGAAGGTCGGCGAGAAATTATCCGTCAGAGATAGACGAGTTCCCACCCGTAGAGAAGAAGGTCGACGAACAGTGCCTGTGACCAGCGGCAACCGGTAGCCTTTGGAGGGATGGCGGCAGCGCGACTACCCGACGCGGCAACCCGCGACGCAAATTGACGGGGCGGCATCAGAGATTAGGTGCTTGTGGATTTTCTCTTCAATTTAATTCTTTTATCTGTTTTTATAGCTGAACAAGTTTTCTTAACGGGGTAAAAATTGATTTCTTCTTAGGAAACCCTACCACGTCACCTCGAAGGCTCCGTCACTGGAGGAAGTGGACAATGCCTCCAGCACGTAGGGTTTGTTTCTCCACCTATAATATTTGATTCTTCTAACATCGTTTATAACGAAAGAAAAAGAAAGCAACTTGAAATCGGACCACTAAGTTTGATCTGAATGTTACCATATTGCACTTCACTTTAATTTTTTTATTTTTATTTTTATTTTTTTTTCATATTGGAGCAGTAAGTCAGCTGTGTTGCTTGCGAGTTAAGAATGGTTCAGATAAAGCAACATTTTTTTATCAAAAATTTGAACTGTGTCGGAGAATTTGTCGAGGTGGATTGTCTTTTGTTGCTCCACCTAATACTTATTATTGTTCTTAAGGTATGTGTACCCATCTGATTCTTATGTGTGCAACTCTAATTTTTACCGTCGTTAGGATCAGTTTATGTCTCAGATTTTGTGTTGTTTTTTATC